CCCCAAAACCCCAAAACCCCAAAACCCCAAAACCCCAAAACCCCTTAAAAATTTTCCAAAAAATGTAAATTTTTCAAAAACGAGCAATGCCTTAATCGCTGTATCTCTGAGGCACATATTTTTCTTCTTCCTTACCGTTCCTCTATAGAGATTATTGAGGCTCTCCCAGGGATGATACTTACGTTTTCTTCTTCCTTCTGCTTAGCGATTTCAGCGAATTTCTGCATTTGGGTTTCCCTTCTGTTGCTTGAGTTCTTCTGTCCAAATTCAGGTAGATCATATGAATCACTAGCCTTGTTACTCTGCCCTTCTTTTTCTTTCTTCCTATACGAGTATGGTGAGATTTTGGAGGCAAAAATGTTGAAAATTACTTATGCTTGTGGAGGTCACCTCCAAAGATCTTCTTAATATACTTGTCATCTACATGTCTCCATTTCTTCTGGAGCCAGCCGGCATCTGAACGCTCCAGGGCGGTTTTCTGATCGCCTGTAATAAGCATGGATTCTCTTTCAATGAAAGACTGGGCCTTGGCCTCTGGTAATGAGCCAGGAGCAGAGCCTTCTGCAGAGAGTCCGATCAGCTTTGCAAAAGCAGCCATGAGTCCGCCCATGATGATCGTTGTCATGAGGACAATGATCAAGGTGATGGACACCAAGGCTTCCTTGTGAGGTGATACTTCAGAGCTAATCTTGAGGGAAAGAGCAAAGGCGATAGCGCCTCTGATCAAACCTGAGAACCAGATAATCATCATCTGTTTTAAACTTAGAGTCTCACCTCGTCCTTTCTTGGATCACTTTTTAGCTAATATGAAAATGCCTAATGGGATAAATACAGAAGCTGCTCTGGCAACAAAGCCACCCAAAATAATGTAGAGTGTAAAGTCCAGTTTAAAAGTCTCTTGATCGGTGGAATAAATTCCAATTCCGAGATACAAAAATAGGAATGCTTCAGCAGCATGACCAAGGGTATTAATTGCCATAACAGAACCCTTTTGAGATGCCTCTGAGATGTTATGGAATGTATAATGTGACATTGTAACTCCGCAAACGAACAAAGTCATAATCGCAGACATCCCTCATACCTCACTGATTACGTAAGATAAGTAAGAGAACAACAGAATTAGGGAAACTTCTTTTGCTGGAGATTCATGGAATGATGTGAAAAACTTGGAAACTGCAGCTGAGATCAGACCAAATACCACCCCAAGAAGAATGCTCAAGAAAGAAATGTACAAAAAGTTCCAAACTGTCAGTCCGATAATCTTTGCTGTGATAGGAAGATCTTGATTACTAGAAGATTCGTTTCCTTCAGAAGATTTGATCATTTCTACAACAGCTTGGTAGATCAAAATAGCAGCTGCATCATTGACAACACCCTCTCCGAACAAGATAGAATTCAGGGTTGGGAACTGAGATTCCTTCACAATTGCTAAAGCAGCAACAGAATCTGTTGCTCATAGTACAGATGCTAGCAGCAATCACTCAACATTAGATAGCTTATTAGGGTCCTCTGAATCATACGAGATATTGTTGAATAATATGATAACTACTGAAAGGACAACCATAGAAATAATAGTCCCTATTAATCCTAGAAGCAAAATATAGCTTAGATTCTTCACAAAATTTCTTCTCTTCAGAGTATACCCGGCTGCGAAGATGATAGGAGGAAGTATAAAATAGAAAAATCCAGATTCACTAAATTCGATCGTTTCTTTGGCCACCTAAAAAGGGTTGAGACAAGTTCTTACAGCAAACGCTAGCAGCCCCATCAGGGTTCCCATCAGTATGGCTACTCCAGATTCATGCAAAAAGTCTACTTTATGCTCTTCAATCATATGTGCGATTAGAACATATAAGAGTAGCAGCCCAATGGCTACAACTAGTTCAACGCTAAGGAAAGCTACATCTTCGCTCATACTCGTGCTATTTAATATTATTAATTATGTATTCAACAATGAGTCCCGAATAAGGGGTTTTGGGGTTTTGGGGTTTTGGGGTTTTGGGGTTTTGGGG